CTTGCCATGAGTTGCCGCTTGGAGATGCCATGAAATGCGGCGTGGACCTGCTCTGTCCGCCTACCTTGAGTGGAAACGGCTAATATGCGGGCCAATCTGTGACAATGATCGCTACCCCAGGCACGCAATCCCCTCGACAAGGTTTTGAGGGAGAAGAGCAAACTACAGCCCAAGTTACAACGACACAACAGGCAGCCCTTGAGATCGCAGGGGTGTCGGAATTCTGATTTTTTTTTTGTCCCCCCTCCATGGGCTGGGATCACCCCGGCCTTGTTCAATTACCGCCGTTTATATGCATACTCCCCTCCGTCTGTTGTCCCGCAGATCACATCGGCGGTTCCCGTACCTGGCGGCTGAGCGACGTGGGCAATGCAGCCTACTCCATCGAGGCTGCAAGGGCGCACACAAGCCATGCAGACGCCACACAACCGACTTTCCCCACGCGCTGCCACCATTGCAACAACCCACAAGCGGGAGAGGCAAGACTTCGACATACACACTCTATCTTGCGAGAACCGCACGTGCAGACTGAGAAATAAGGCAAGGCCGCCAGCGGGGGCAAGTATGGCCTGCTTGTTCGGTGGTGCTGTTGGCTGCGGTGAGACGAACTTCTGCTCCGCATCAGTCTTTCCGCAGCAAATGACTGTAGGATACTCACATCAACTACCAACAGAGGGAGACAGAGGGAGACGACCGCGCTGGCCGTGAGCCATGACAAGTAGGTAGTAAAAGGGCTGCAACGCGTGCTGATTCTTGTACGTTGCTTCATATCCTGTAACACACCACTATGTCGTCGACACAGCTTACTGTCCCTGTACTAATACAAACTCGCGGAGCAGGTGTCCGTGTGAGAATGATAGCTTCGTCCAGCCAAGACAACTACGATACTCCCATGTATAATACTAATCGCATAGCAACTCGATCACACGTTTGAAACTAGCCCTTCTTAGGTAGGCTGAGCGAGATAAAATGACAGACAATGGGCCAGCCGACCATGTCTGTCATGCTATAACCAGCGATGTTGAGGCCCCGGCGAAGAAAGGGACCACTAGAATCGCGGCATGATTCCTTGGTACGCAAGGTCCACGATTAAATGGCAGCCTCTACGCTTACAAATGGGTTCGCGGCCATAGCAACAAGCCGCGATCACCGTCAAACCCCTGATGTTCAACCAAACGACTTATAGCGCTGGTTCTGCTCAACCCAGTGACGCTGAAAAGTAGCTCGTTCCGAGTGGCTTGATGCAAATTGGCCTAGACTGAGTAATTCCGCTCTGTGCCCATTTCATCACATCAAGTGCGCCAACTGCAGCGGCCATGTTACCTCTGCGGCTACGCGAATCAGTCTGTGTGCATGTGCCAGCTCAACAGTCATCTTCTTTTTCCAAGCCTGAAGTAATTTAGTCATTCCGGCTCGCCTCCCTGGTTGTTCCATTCTTCTCCCACAAGAGGCTTCGCTGGTCATCTGTTGAATCACCCGGCTACAGAGAATCCCGAATGTGACAAGCAAGGATCTGCTGGAATGAGGCCGCATTACTAGTCGCCGTTTTATGAGCTCCATTGTTCCGCACATGCAGGTATGTGTAATTCCATCACGGTAGTTGGCTTCACCGTTCCGCCAGGCCCTCAAAAAGGCTGGGTCATCTTAATGGGACTATTCAGGCCCCTGTGGATGCAGTCCAAATTCTTCGACGCAGGGGTAGGTGAGGAATAAGCGAATGGTACACCAAACCGTGGCACCGGTACTCCGCACACAGGGTAACCCATACGACAACAAGAAAAATTACCGTTTGTTTTATTTTCCTGGTGAGGCCAGAGCCATCCCGGCTCCTTCCAAGAGTACGGAAGGATTGGTCTCCACACGTAGGAGCGCGGAACACTGAGAGACGAGACGAGACGCAGCCCAGTGTAGAACCCTCTCCCCAGTCCTTCGCTTGGCGGTCCATAGACAATGAACGGCAGAGCGCTGAATGCCTGGGGTTAGTCAATGTCACCGCATGCGGGTTTGTCAACGACTTTGTGTAGACCAGAAAGGACAGATTATACGAAGTGGACTTCCCCCAAGGCAGGGTCTGCTGGAGCTTCTTACGTTTCTGTTCCTGGTTTATGGCAGTTGTTGTGAACCGGCGCCCGAGAGGTTCTTCTTTCTACAATTCAACCTTCTAGTCCTACGCTTTGTTATCGCTGACGAAACGGTCCTCAAGCTCGTGCAATACGGAGAAGCGGAGCGTACGGTGAGTACCATGACGCGATGTGGAATGCGTTGATTTGTTTCCCTCCTTGGTTGTACAGTGTACCGCCAGACACAGAATTTGGGTGAAATACAGAGGCGATTGTGCACTATTCCATGTTGGCCGTCGCAGCATGATATCACTATGGTGGCATGTATCGAAGTCACTCGGATAAGCACACACCCGACTTCAATACTATCATTCTAGGAAATCGCGGCCCCGAATCTGGGCCGGGATCGATATAAATGTGTTGTTCTTCTATGGATCCGTCAAGGGGATGCAAAATACGGCATGCAAAGCAGAGAGCAACAAAGGTTCAAGATTTGTAATTGTTGATCAATCATCCTTTCAGAAGCATAAAAGGAGGTATGATGACGAAGGTCAGACTAGTATAATATTTTATCATCGCATTCCTCAGACAAAGCATTGGGCGGTATTGTTGGGGCGCATGTTGTGCGTCTCTTTCTGTAGTCTGGGAAGCTGGCCTTGAACAGGAAACGATGAGCGGCGGCCGAGATGTGACAGCGAAGAACATGGGTAACCTTGTTAAATAACACAGGAAAGGGTGTGTGTGTGTAAGCGCTGATGACAAACCTGTTTATCTCAAAAGCCTCCAGCTCTTGATGAATTTGGCAACTGCAGGTGAGGGCAGAGAGAGACTGCACTAGGTCACAGCCAGACCCCAAAGCCATCCAACCATCATCATTATTAACCCAGCCTCGTCTTTACCAAGACCCGTCAACACTTGAAGAGGTCCTAGCGGGCGTGTGGGACGGCCAGCCAGCTCTCTGTGCGAACGCTGGGCAAGCACATAAATATACCACAACCCAACTCGCAAGACACGATGGAGGAAGAAAACTCACAGGAAGGAACGAAATATGAATAACAACCAAGGCCCACACTCCTCTGGCGGTGCTGCTGGTCACGAGCTCAAAGTCAAGGAGCAGGATATACGGTTGCCAATAGCCAATGGTGAGTTGTGGCTAAGCTTCTGAAGCCCAACCCTTGGGTTGTCCTCTCTCACGACACACGGTCCACCAGGAACAAACCTTTTCTCACTAGCGCAGAGAGATTTGAGGCCGACATCCGTAAATGCAGTCACCAGAATAATGAGGAATGCTCTGCGGGACAATGCAATGATTACCCGGGAGGCCAAGGAGTGTATGCAGGAATGTGTCGGCGAATTCATTTCCTTTATCACTAGTGAAGGTTAGTTAACTATTTCCCTGGTCACTCACTGAGATTAGAGTCAATCTTACGAGTCGTGCAATTATTTGTCTTGAGGAAAGGGGGCAGCACCACTAACGCCGCTCGTTCCGTCCAGCCTCCGAAAAGTGCCAACAAGAGAAGCGCAAGACCATGAATGGTGAAGACATCTTGTTCGCTATGACTTCACTCGGATTTGAAAACTATGCGGAAGCTCTGAAAGTCTACCTTGCCAAGTACCATGAGGTAATTTACTCATCTCTATGTCTGGGCAGTCATCAGATAACCGAGGAAATACTGACATCTCCCAGCAAAAAAACCAATCTAACGAAGGGCATTTCATGGAGCATACTTGGGTTAGATCAATAATGCCTGCTGAGGATGGAGTTGGAGACAGCCAGAATCTTGAAGATGAAGACCCGAATGATTTCGGACCTTTCATCGCGTACAACTAAAGTGACGACAGTAATGGCAAATAAGGTGGTGCTTACTAGTTTATTTCATGTCTCGAACAGAAGTCTTCCATATTTCAGAGCAGAAATACAGCCAGCAAATTTTTTAAATTGAGCAACACCATATTCCATATGGCTTAAATCCTGTATTCTTGGGACATGTTCATGTTCAACAACAACCACATACGAATAATGAGGCGGGCATGGATAATTTCGAGATATAATACACCTACATACCTGGAGATAATCCTGTAGTTATATGGTGGAAAATAGTCGTTCGTATGCATACGGTGTCTACTATTGTCACCTTGGCCGTTTTTGGAACTGTCGGTCTCGTTCATGTTACTGTTGTATAATGAAGAAAAGGGGTGGAGTGACTGACGGTCATGGCGTGGGGTCAAATTAATGCATTCAAGAACGCCCGCTGGTTCACTTTTTCTCTTTACAAAGTATCAATTGTGCGATGAGAATCGTGGAAAATGAGTGTCGCGTATTTGATAGGTTACGTCACTGGTTCAGTTGCAATGCCGTCGTGATTCTCCAGCGCATAGTCAAATGATTCCAAAGGAACAGGCGCCAGCCATCCCATTTCTGCTGGTGACATATATCGACAAGCCCATACTGCAGTCATCGGTCTCATTAATCGAATATGCACCTTCTTTGTTCCAAGTCGCACCATGTTCTTGACTGACGCGATCTTCTATTGCTACTAGGCTAGCATTTCCAACAGTAGGTCAATTTTAACTCTGCTAAAACCAGTCTTTAGCAATATGACGCGCTACTACAGCGGCACCAGCGTAAAAGATACAGTCACTCCAAAAAAGGATTTCTTTAAAAAGGCCTTAAGAGTCTCAATCTTGTACCAATTTATATCCTTATACTTAATTCTCAGCTCATACGAGGCCATTTGACAAAAGGCTTGCCGTTCATCTGGTGTTATCAGACGACATTTGGATGCTATGGAAGTCGTTGTTAAAATTTGTCCACTAAAAAATTGGCAGGCAGGTCAGTCAACTCACCATTTGGCGCATGTCCTTTTAATTTCACAACTTTTGAGCGCACAAGGAGCCAGATTACGTCGTGTAATATCACCGTCTGCTTATTTGCCCAGAGGTTGTTGTGGTCCTCCACAATGACCATATTGCCGATGAAAAATTCCGCAAATCGGGCCATCAATGCATTCTTTTTGGACTGATTTGGGTCATTCGTGATTTCAAATACAACATTTTCGCAAGTGAACCCGAGAAGGGCCTCGGTTGCTGGCTCAAAGCCACCCACTCGGACAATGTGGAATAAGTACTACCCCCAGCCAAAGTCACTGCTCATCGTCGTACGGTGGTCAATAATTATTCGATCGTTGTCTACACGCCGTTGGCAATCCAAAAACTTGGCCGATAGTTCGCTCAACTCGCCATTTATCTTCTTGAAATTCTCGACTGTTGAATGTTAGTTGTGACGGGGGATCGAGGCGGCGCAAACTCACCACCATCAATTTTGAGCCGTCCTGTAACGTCTGGTCCAAATCTTTCGTTGTATTCAGCCTCTGTCTGATGCTGATCCGTCTGTGGGAGGAACTTCAAAACCTGCGCGCCATACAACTGCTGGGCTAGCGTCGAGTTTTCTACCTGACAGAGTGACAGAGTGGCAGTTGGGAGAGGCGCCATATCATGCGGCTCAACTGGGCGGCTCAGCCTTGATGCTTTTTTGTGCAGAAAATGTCCCACGTAAAGAATAATGTGATTGGCACTTCGAGAACGCAAACATGAAGGTTCTTAACACATTTACGGGGAGTATTGCTATTTGCACAGATATAAATCTCTATTTGCACAGATATGTGTCTCACCTTTGACTCACCTACCCCACCCTGGTCACCATCAATTTCTGTAAGGAATGTTGCGCAGCGCAGGCGCAAACTTGTAAACAGCCGGCATCGTTCAAATTGATTGCGACAGCACACACAGCGACATACACGGTGACACATACGACGACACACTGTGAAACACACGAGGCTATCAGAACATTGAACCACTTAAATCAATTTAATTATCATATTATTAGGGAATGCTTGGGTTCTGAAGCATTACAACGTCCACGTGTCCTGCCAGCTTCCTGTCCCTGACCCATGGGTGCCGCACACCCTCTTCCTCTCTATGACGGTATTTCAGTCCTGCAAACCACACTTTTTACAGTGGACCATCATGGTGCTGCAGCATGCCGTTCATGAGACAATCAAGGATGCGATGGCTACAAGGCAGGCCGTTCGAAGTTGCCTGTGCAAGGGAGTAGCGGTTTGGGCTCGCGCTGATCAGGCAGGGCGGCGAGGGCAAAGAGATACTGCCTGGCAAGCAGGTCAATGGCGTGATATGTGATCTGCAGGTTGAGCTTGTCAAGCCATGCCTGCTTGAGGTACTGATCACGCTGACGCTGAGTCTGTCTTGCAGCCTCTTGACGATAGGACCGAGACTTGTTATCAATCACCGTGACAGGGGCTTGGTGGAGGTAAAGAAGGTCTCCCATGCCTGTCACAAGGTGAGAATTTACGTCTGCGTGAGCGGTCTCAGTAGGGCTATTGACCCTTTGACCGAAGTTCCGATAGCGGTCAATGTAACACTTTACCCACTGCTTGCGCCACGGCATATATTCCTTCTGGACATATCGCAGGATGTGCCGTTGCTGTCGGCCTAAAGTTTCGGCAAAAGACTTCCACGAGTCTTTGAAGGCATCGTGATCAGCGGCACAGACCACGGCTCGGAAGGCTTTGAACATCTCCTCACGGTTGTAGTCATCAGAAGGGTTCGCAAGCTCGTCCTCTGCCTCGTTTTGTACACGGCCCCGGGCGACAACATCAAGGTCTAGCTCTGGCACGAGCTGCTCGGCAGTTTTGTTTTGTCGCTTGGATCAACAGAAAGGGTGTTTCCGTCATTATCAAGCTCAACAATAATGGCGTCGTGATCTTCGCCCTCAGTGTCCTTCCAGCGGGCGTTAATTTTAGCCCGGACGTTGGCCAAGTTGTGGTATACGCATAGCTGCTGCTGAGCACCTGGGAAGGTGTTCGTGAGGGCTGCGCGGAGAGCCTGTTCCTTGTCAGTGATGATCACCTCCGGCGTGTCTGCCCCAATGTCGATGCGAAGCTCGTCAAGCCGGTCACATAACCACTGGAAGTGGTGCTCCTTTTCGCCGTTTATAAGGCCGAAGGTGAAGTTGGCCAGGGTCTTCTGATCCATCACACCTGTGGCTTGAAATAGGTGTAACCCAAAGCGATTGGTCTTGTATGTGTTGTCCAAACCTAGCACCTCCGGAAACTTCTTCCACATCGTGCGGCACCAGTCGTAAGTCCAAAAGACGGCACAGACGCGGTCCTCTTCATCGCGCAAGGTTCTGACCCTAATATCTCCGCTATCAAGCTCCTTGACGAAGGCCTGGGTAGCTGTAAGGCCGTTAAGTCAAGCTCCTTGACGAAGGCTTGGGTAGCTGTAAGGCTGTTAAGTCGCTCGCGTTTGATGGTTTGACGATCATTGTAGATGTCCCGTGTGCGGAAATAATCATAGCCTGGCCTGTCGGCTTTTCTAACAATACTAGCCATCTCGCGGGCCCTAATGCCATTCTCGTTGGCTAGTTCTCGCTCTTTTTGTTGCTGAGCAAGCGTGCGGCGGCGATAGACATTGTGCGCCGATGGATCGAGGGACTGTCCGTGGTTATGATGGCCTTGAACCACCGTGTACGTCCACTCCTAGTTAGACGACTTGGTGGCCTTGGCCGTAATTCTGACGGGACAATCAAGCTTCTGTGATGACGGCTACCTGAGACCCGAGCTTTGTGACGGCCGTCGCGGGCCACGGCCGCATTTGAAGACGATGTAGCTTGGCTGGATGATGCCCCCGATATCCCGCCTTGAGGAGCTAGAGGCCTTCACTATGGCGGCGCCATTGGAAAGGTGGAAGTTGCGGAGGAAGGCAAACAGGTCATCGTAAGTGTCAAAGAGTGGCGGCGGCAGTTGTGGGACCGTAGCCCCAGTGTAGTCATCGTCAATTGGGTCGTTGGTGGCAGTAGCTGCGGTGGCCGTAGTGGCACGGCCTGGCGAGGGACTTCGTGAGTTGAGAAGGCGGCATATGTTCATCTTGACAGACGTGATGAAACTATGTAGCAGTGGACGTCAGGATTGTGTGGTGGGGTTGACGCCCTCTATTTATGCGTAGTGAGAGATTGACGATCCTCGATTTAGCTGTTTACGTTTTCCCCATTCGGATGCACTGGAATCGACCGTCGCAGACTGGTCGCACGGTATTGGGCTATGGTGATCAGGGTGAGTAGGTGAGTCAAAGGTGAGACACATATCTGTGCAAATAGAGATTTTTATCTGTGCATATAGCAATACTCTTATATTTTGCGAGACGAGGTATCTGCATAGCCGGCTCAACGGGGCTTAGGGATCCGACCAAACTATTCGCTATCACATTCAGATGTGACAGGGGTTGCCCCGAAGAGGAGCGACGTCCCTTCCTGGGTTGTGCAGCTAAAACCTAGCTGGGGACATGTGTAAACGACAGCATTAAAAGGCTGATCCAGAACAGACGGGGAGGCCAATAAACCCATCCCAAGGTCTGCGTAGAATATTCCAATATTGTTTTGGACATGTTTAGTATAAATAGCTCCTGACTACAGCAAACAATCTCAATGCGACAGTCTGCTGCCATAACGAACTTTTTTCTTTCTAGGCACTCCTAGTATTTCCCCCTCTTTCCCCCCTACCGGGGGCCCCTAGAAAAAATCCTTTCACTATGGCAGACGATATTTCAGTGACCAAGACAACTTCATCCTGGGGGTGGAGAAAGCCTCGCAACTCGGAGAACGGATAAGAGTTCCGAGCCGTACATAATCTAAAGTGCACACAGCGGCTTGTGGTTGTCCTCAGCCGATGAAAGTGCCCCTTTCCTATTCCCTGTTTTGGTGTGCACCATCCCAGACGCCCCATATTTCCCTCCGAGCCTATTACCACGCCGCTCGAGAATGCATCCGTGTTGAACGTTGCATCGGAACACACACGGCCCAGACGCTAAACGAGAGAGTTGATTCTACAAGAAAGGTTGGCCACTGAGTTTCTAAAGTAGGCTATCTATGGAAGGTGCAGGCTGGATCCTGCACGTGATGTGGCATCATGTTCAAATCCCTGCCCCTAGCGGTCGCAGTATATATGCTTTACATCAAGTTCTGCACTCACTGCGTCCGATTGCCTTTCATCCGGAATCTTCAAGCTGTTTTTGATACATGCACAATGAGTACTAACTTAGACTGCTCTTCCTCTAGTGCAGGAGTTTCGTTCGATAAGCAGCAACCCAGCTTGAGTGCAGCTATTCTGAGCTCGTTTGCACAGTCCCTATTTCTATCCTCCTGCTTTGGGACACAACGCCTGAAGGATGAGGAAGCAAATGGCAGTGCTCTTCAGAATTCGGTATCTAGCAACGAATACGCCGACCAGCCAGGCATGCATTTCCTGAATGAAATCGGTCAAAATAAAATCGGCCAACAGCAAGAAGCTTCCCACACACTTACTACAAATCCACTAGCTCGCATCTTGAACAAGCTTCAAACCTGGAACAAAACTATAAAAATCCTGATAGCCGAATCTGGTGTCGTATCCACGATGTATAGGCGGGGTGGTATATCAACATATGCGCAGTGAGTAAGTTGAGCCAAATGAGAGAACATGATAAACTAACGCCACAGGGCTATCCGGGATATTTGGTCTGGAACGCCTCAAACTTATGTTATTCTCAGTAATACACAACAAACAGAAAGGGTTGAGCTCATTATCGCCGACCCAACTATTGATATTTGCAGCGAGAGGTGGACAAACATGAACAATATTGTTGCTACAACAACTATTCCGGCAAACTCTGAACACCAAGCATCACAAGCGACCGAAAGTGAGAAAGAAAGGCAGAAGCATTTGGAGGAAGAGAATAAGAGGCTTAGAGATGAGGCAATAAAGCAGTATTCCCGTGACTGCGTCGACGCCTTACTACCGGGAGGCTGTTTAGGATACTTGTGTTCGGAAAAGGAGTTGCCCAAGATTCGCAACCTCATGAAAGAGAAAAGCTTAAAGGGCGTCGAATCCCATCATGTAAGGAGCTTCTTTGGGGAATCAAGCAAAGATGCGATGCCCTACCATACCCAGTGAGTACTCATGTCAACCATGAGCAGGAACTAATAACTGACGATGAGTAGTATCGTGACTGGCTGGTTAAAGTCTAAATCATAAGAATTATCAGGCCTTCTCTGACCTCAGAGGCCCTCGGAGGCTCCAACTCTAATCTATGGACTACTTTCCCCATTTCTATTCGCTTCAACCCGTTGCTCTGATTAAACAGTGAGCTATTGATATGGAAAACGGCAAATCGGCGCGAGAAACAGTGTCTGCTTGTAGAGAAGTGGCTGGCGTGTGAAAGTGTGATTGGTTCTCACGGATAGGTAGGCAATTTGAGATAACTAGGCTCTACGGCTATTAGTTACCACAAGTGTAAATACGTACAGTGTAGTTCCATAAATCATGCCAGAAGTGTTTGGTTGGGCGTTTGATTGCAACCAGAAAATTCCTATTAGTTCTGTCTCGGTTCCGGTTCGTTGTGTTAATAGTCAAGTAGATATTTACCACAAGTGGAAATGGTACAAGAGCAGACATACAGGCTTTCCAAAGCTATGGACGGCAAATCTCACATTCTTCAGGCCAGTCACATCTTCGACAAAGCCTTGATATACTGCTTGCTGCAACAAACGAACATACGACAAGTTCATGCTCACAGTTATGTCCCAACGCCTTTGCACCTTTTTTTCTCGCAGGGTGGTACGGTGGGAAACTTCTACGTGCTGTTTCGTGGACTGACATATACCATTTTTACCTTCACTATCGCTGCATTTCGACTTCGGTACGGCCTACCGGAATGCCTGTGTCGCCTTAGTGGACGAAAAGGCTTTACTGGCTAGGAATATTGCCTCCGAGAGCACCCAGGCCTTGCTTTACGCGACAACGACCACACTGGAGGAGCTGCAGTTGGTATTTACGATCGAAGGCGGTTTTAAGACAGAGTATCCCGCAGACTGGAAGTATTTTGCCAGAGGCCGCGTTCGTCAGATTGCAATCTCTGGAAATCCAAGGGGTTTCAGATAAGTTGGCTCGTCTCGTGGACTTTCTACAAAGGAATAGGACGACACTCAAGCGTGTACGCTTAGCAGATGAGCAGCTCGACCATCACTCGATTGGGGCTCTTTTTGAGTCTTTAGTTGCCCTGAATAATAAGCATACAATTACTCACGGAACTCCTAAAGGAGAAACACAACGGACGATAGTCTGGTACGGCGATGCAGGATTTCGATGTCACTAGAGCAAGGAGTCGCGGACTGGCTCGAACTTTGTGCTCTCCCCTTCATTTTCCCGTGACCATAGGATGGAGGGAGTGCCCTCATGTAAGCTTAGTATGGTATGTACTGTATACATTTGGAAATAATAGTGTCGAATGTCTTCCCAGCCACCGACTAGATTTTTGGGCAACTAGATTATGCCCGTACCCTGGTGACTTCAGGCGTCGCTCAAGCGCACCTATCGTGGCAGTACTTACTTGTGGACTATGATATATATCCACGAGGACGACTGCAGCTGGGGGGAAAATAGCAGAAGCTGCAGCTCTCAAACTCTTGATGTATTAGTGGTGTTACAAGCAGAATTCTCCATTGAACTTCCAGATAGCTTCGAACTAAATGACCAGACCAAGGTTGAATTTGTCCCGGAGCTGGCCGTTTCGTCATAACACAGCATCAGAACATACCTAACTAGCCCTTTCTGTAATGCCATTTATTGCCGCTCTCTGATGAGGACTAAAACCTCATCAGTCCGTCACGAGCTCTGAGCGGTCCACGACGAGCCTTGTCCTTGGCGATTCAGAATCCCACAAAAAGAAAGCAGAGTGTATTAAACTGAAACATATGACGGCCTACTCTCCTACAGTATTTGTTGCTTTGCCCTGGCAGCGCATGCAATACCCGAATACCAAAGCATCTCCGCAATACAAGGATGAATATCGAAGATTCGGCCCCCTGCAGCCGGGAATGAATTAATTAGACATTAATTACGTTCTCATGAACTCCATGTCACCCTCTTTAGCCCTGTACACTGGTCCTATGGAAACGTTGCGTGGCATACAAACTCGATGTACTATCGAGAATCGTTGCTGAGCAGGCGGAATGGCAGCGAGAGCTCCAAGGACCTTCAAATTTACGAAGCAGGCTGTTCCCAGCCATAGCCTCCGACTTCAGGGCTTCGCTGTCGACATTACAGGCGACAGCACTGGCCACAGCTCCAGTAACCGAGCAGAGACCAGCCCTCTCCCAGGGTCGTAGGGAGATCTATTCCTGCGATGTGGAGGATGACAGTACGTCGCCATAGACGTCCACCAGACAACTCCGGTGGCGAGGCTGAGTCTTACTACGGAAGTCGTCCGGGGACAAGCCGGTGACTGTCACTCCGGTGAATGCATGAGAGCCTCCTGTCCCGCTGACAGCAGTCATAAGCAGATGATACTTCGAATCCATATCGAGAGACGTGCAGAGCGGTACTTTTCCTTGATCTCAGCGTCACGCCAGCCACCAACAACCAGGTAGATAAGCACTAGACAAGGGAGGAGACGGGCCTCGTTCGTCGCGACATTGTAGGGTGTTGGGCTTTTCATCCACACCCCAGCCCCCTCCTTCACAAAAACAATATTGGTGGTCTTGGGGGTTCGTCTTCGCGTTGTATGTGACTTCGACGCTGTATGCAGTTAACTAAATGTATGTGGGTGTCAAAGGACGGCGGCAAGGCGTGGCTGGCTCCACTCCCAAGAGCCCGCTCATATGCACACGCTAGTCCGGATACGGAGCCTAGCGCGAATAGAGATCACCGATGGGAAGGACCGTGCTTGGTGATGTGGCTGGCAGAATGTGCCACTTGACAGCCCAGGATGAGAGACCCCAAACCGGTCGTCCGCTCCAGAATTACGCCACAGCCGCAAGTCTTCAACGCTAGTTCATATTCAGAACTTAGCGCGAGGGACCTACCATTCGACAACCAGGGTAAAGTGGAGAATTTGTGTACGTCTCCTGCTGGATTACTTTGAACTTCCGTCGCACTCTTCACCAACCTACGCCGAAAATTGGTGACTGACGCGGCTCTTCCGTATGAAATGCACGACATGAACTGCCTGCTCACGAGTAATCACGCACGGTTGTTACTTTGCGCCGTCAATGACAGCCCGAAAAGTATCCCATTCGCCCTCACTGAAAGGTAGGGCCAGAACGATCTTGGCTTCAGGCCGTCACACTGTTTGGCGTCCTGCAATGCGGACTCTGTAAAACCACATTTCAGAGGCAGAGATGCACCTCGAACATCCATTCTTCTTCTCGTGCGGCTGAGCCCCTTGTTGCAGCCCGTGAACCTTTCAGGATGAGTGCCCAAAGACGGCCGGCCCGACCGCCATTTGCAGAGGAGATTAATGGGAACAGTACTATTCAGGAGGATGCTGTTGTTCCGGATGCTGTTGTTGTGCATTGAGGTACATCAGCCGTTCGGGCAACAATGCACGGGTAACCGCGGCCCATTTAAAAGCTCTGCCACAAGAGCCGCCTGCCAGCGACCAATACAGCTAGCCTCTTCGCAGTGTCTGCCAGCGCATCGTCATATAAGCCGCTCTTCCACACACTGTTGCTGGCTGGTTCTGTATCGGACTTCCCAACCGTCCATGGGCTCATCAACATTCGGTTATTATTGCCACAAATCCTAGTAAGATGACCTACACAAGTAACAAGTTCACCGCTTGGCTAACGCTGAGCAGCATATACACGTGAAGCCTCTAACTACCCCTGAAGCCTCAAAGTTCCAGAATCCCAATGCCACAGACACTATCCTGGGAATGCCCCAATGTGGGATGCGCTCCTAGAAGGATTACCCTTGAGAAGGGATCGCCATGTCCAACATGCAAGACACCACGAACATTCTCGCTGGCGAACCATGTAAAAGTTGGACCACCTACCGGCACACCAAAGGGAATAAAAAAATGAGTAGGGACACGGTGCCAACAACATTGCAGCAGGAAAGCAGATATTGCTGGGGAGAGAGGACATGGAGTGGACAGGAGGCTTGGCTGACTCGGGCGATATTTCAGGTAGACTTTCGATAACAAATATTTTCACGATAGTTACCAAATCTTATTTCATAACCCGTCCTTTGGATGTCGCAACTGTTAGCTCTATTACAACTTACACTCCCATCCAGAATACTATTATATAGTCTTGTCGAGTCATAATATGAATGGTCTCTAGGCAGTTGATTCGACTAGAAGAAGGCCCTGATATGGTTGTCGGATAAGGCTGCCTCTGTTATTTGAACAAGTGACATAGTTGCTGGATGCCATAAAATCATTGATATCAGTAGTTTGAGAGGCTGGGAATCTTCTAAACTAAAGATGAATGACATGAACCCTTCTGAAGGGTAGAAAGAACAACAATATTCAATTTTTCAAGAGAGAAGCTTAGTTAACAATAGGTCTCACGACGTGACAATAGTACTTCAGATACTAACTTTCAGCAGATGCCATACCGATATGTAATCATGATTGGACTAGCCTGTTGTCCATTTTGTGCTTTTTTCATCGAACCGAAGAGTTAACGACAACGACCATGAGTTCTCGCAGACATAGTCTGCAGCAGGCACAAGAGAAGAACAATGATTTTGTAAAAGGAGCATAGTTAACGAACGCGACACATACCCAAGAAAATAAGGATCGCCCATACATTGAAACAGTGTACGTACAACAAGCCGCCTATTTCGTTAAAAATAAATATGAACTTTTTACTATGCCGTTTTAACTTTACATCTCCGCCACTTTCGTTTTCTTCGTTCTCGTCTGTCGTTCAATTGCTTTGCGCGCTTTTCAGCTGTTCAGCAGCTGTTAGTATCCGCGCAGGGCGTGTCTGTGAGCAAGATTGCAGACCAACTTACCCCAGTCTTGGTACACTCGCTTCAGCTCAGGGTCAACCCAGGAATAGTGGATAGCGCGTTCAGGATAACGCTGGGCTAGACCAGGTGGCTCCATAGGGCTATCCTGGCTGTGTCTTTGACGGCACTTGATGCTGACACATTTGGGCTTTATATCATCGTCGTTGCCAAAGATTAACCAGCCATCTTGATCCCAGAGTGGAATCCTCTGATTCATGCGGTAATAGATACCTTGTAGGCCTTGGACGGTTCTTTCGGGAGTTCGGCGAAACATGGCAGCAAAATCGTGCTTGATACGTTGCCATGTCAATTTCTTTTCGTGCCAGCAGTAGATGATGAAATCACCCTCTTCGGTGGTGTACCTCTGGTTGATATGCCTGTTCTCGCCATCCGGAGAGGGACTAGGGCGATTGTCAAGACTAGACATATTATTAATATGCATAGGAACATGTTGGAGAAATTGCAAATCGCATGCTCGCTGCAGACACAATGGCTGAAAAGGCATGGAGATTTGCCTCAGGCTGGGTGATGGCGGAGGCAACGGGGTTATGTAAGGGCGAGCAGAATCATAAGATCTCGCAAGAGCTTCAACGCCAAGGTCAAATTGCTCGAGGCTGGGAAGCTGTACTCTTAAGGAAAAACCGTTTTCATCGCCGCGGAAAGTGGTGTTGGGAGGAGTAGAAGAGTGTCTAGCGACGCCTTGGAGCGGGCCTGGCCATCGCGGTTAGCAAGCGCTTTTGGACTTAAGCTTGATGTCAGAACTCACCGTCCAGACTTAATCGCAGGCTACTTGATATTGACTCCAGTGTGGGGGTAGGGTATTGGCCTGGAGGCATGATACGGGGGAGATCGTCTGAAGAATTTCTGGCCTGCAATTGTTGTCACCGGTGGTAGCCTTGATGGCCATCTAGGTAGAGCTGCCGGCAATCTTGAAATTGCGTTGCTCTTGCAGTCCTTCAATCGTCGAGTAGATTTGTCGATGATCACGCTCTCGTAGTCGCTGTACTATATTTTAATGCACCAGTATATCTAGTTCTTCAGAACGGATTTGGTGGCGCCTTTGATTGGATCTAGATGTTGATCAGCACAACGCACAAACTCAACGCAACATGGCACTAACACAAGAACAAGAGGGTATTGTGCTACTCTCCGTGGCAGGTGTTGAGACGGAGGTGATAGGGAGGCACCGGAGTCTTTGCCAATGTAGCGCGTGCCTCGTCCACTCTCTATTACCTGAGTTAACGTGATAAACTGTGCAAAAGAGGTGAAAAAATAATCATTGTCTTCAGCCGTTGTGGAAGGCCCGTGTCAGCAATGAGCATTAGATCCAACATGGGGTGCAAGTTTAACTTGGGCGAACCATACCCCTGATAACAAGGCTCTCGGCCACCCCTGAGATTGCCTCTCATCTTCATTCAGCTATAAGAGTAGTCTTGTCGCATGTGCCGTCATTGCCCTGGTACGCCAAAGCTTGATACACACAGAATGAAGTATGGGTATGCTGGCCAAAGGCGGACCGCCGGAAGCACCGCCCCGCCCCGCCCCAGTGGCCAATCTCCCGGAACGGCCTGGTTATCTGCAAGGGACCAGTTTGGGCTCGCTCTTGGGATGAAAAGTTCTGTAATAAATCGTCTAGGGACCGTTGAACCGGGCAATAACTGCAACCGGAATCACAGTTCGTGTTAATACCGGTCTATCGCACCCTTTGACCTCCCGGGCCGTGTCTTTCGTTCTGCTTCTCTAGCTCTGGAGCTTTTGTTGAGGAGCGTAAATGTATATGGTAATTATCCCATATATGGCCCCCTTTAATTTGTAGAAATCTGTCGCACAGCGCTTAGACAAAATGAAAGACTTTTGTTTTCCTATCTAAAAGACCGGAATAATACGAAAACTAAATACTTGTTGCAATACCGCTGTCATAGCAACGGCTGTTGCCTTGAACGAGTGACTATCTTAACAAAAATCTGTGGTCTGAAAGAGAGTGGACAATACACGTGCGGTAGATTGTGCTGAGTCCGTCTCGGTTCACTATTCCCCTGGGCATATTGCAATTCTAGCCAATTGCAACAACTTCACCGGATGTAAGAAAATCGCACCTACCCTATGCTTCGTTCGGTTCATCTTATTTCTTGTCTTGATGTGTGCTTGCATCGGTCGATAATGTAAGCTGGGATATGTTCTTTTCAAAACGCTGAGTCGGCTCTTCTACCCCCTCAAGTTCTCCTGCGTCCTGGAGCGGATTAGGATTCCGGTCCTGAAGAGTCAACTTAAAAAACTCCATAATTTTTGAAGATACAATCGAATTCTCTTCGTGATACTGTATCGTATTTCTGACACCATTTTATCCGCTCTCATCTTAGCCGGTTCACGCGGGGGCTTGCCCAGGACTGAAACGTGGCGAGCGTCAACCATCCACTTGTGCAAGAAAGCCCTCCAATGCTCGCCAGTCCACTTCTCCAGGGTACCATACTCGCTATGAGATTGAAATTTCCGAAGAGTCGAATCGTTCCGATCGTCACTGACCCACTCCGAAATAAAGTGGCGGGGAAAGTACAACTCCGAAATTTGGTCTTCCAGTTTGTTCTGGTGTTTCTCCTGCTCGATGCATCGACGTAGTCAGGGCCAAAAAAGCAGATAAGAATTTTGCCAACCGATTCATCTTCTTCCGGAATTTCCACGGTAGTAACCATGGTCTCTTTAAGCGCATGTCGGCGGATGGTATCAAGCGCAGGTGGGCGGACGGGATCAAGTGATAGTCTGGCGAAACTAGGTCAATGATCGGGATTTGGTGTCATTTGTTAGTTCTATAAAAGGTGCGTGCGTACCTGTCAAGCTCATTCTGGATTTGCGGCAAGTGGTCGTGTTCGCCCACAATTACGAGACGCAGGTTGCGTAGCTGATACACGTCACGGTGGTATCGGAGGATCTGGTCAGGCGTAAGGGCACGTTGGGCATTTTCCGAATACAAAAGGCGGCATGCCGTGGCAATACATCATCTCTGGGCTGTAGGGCTCGTCGTCTGTATTCCAAAGCTCGGCAGTGACTGCATCATTCGTGATTGGTGATAAGATGCGTTCCAAATAAGCTGGGAGAACTTTGGCGAATTCTTCCCGGCCTGCGCTCTCCAAGGTATACATTAGGATGGCTTGTGTCGGTTGAAGTATCGGTGTTCGAGTAGGCGGAAGACTGACTCTTCGACACGATGCGCTGCACAGCGAGCGAAACAGCACAGCCAGGAGGCTGGTTGGCAAAAGCAGCGTACACTTTCATCGTAGATCGTTCTTGTTCGATGACCGCGAGTTGCATGCCGCTCTCTGTCGTGAACTCGGTGATTGTGTAGGGCGCATAACTAGTCAGGTCTGAACCTCGCGACCATGCGAAGTGCGCCTTGCCGCTGAAGTACAGAGGTCATGATGACGTAGATTTTGGTGGGAGAGTGGTCTTGATTCAAAAAATTAGATGCGCAGAGAGGCGAAGATATCCGGGTTGGTTGAATACCGAACAACTCAGAACTGGTGGTTCCATGGTACCAGAGCAGCTGAATATACCATTGTGGTTCTGAGCCTCTGCTGATGTTGGGGCCAGAAGAGATTTCCTTTCTTTTTCTTTCTGGGTACTGCTACTGTCTACGGTGAGGGCCGCGGTCAGGGTAACCCACATGTCGTTTATGTTGAACATGAAACAGCATCACGTGCAGGGTCCAGCCTGCGCCTTCCATAAATAGCGTGCCTTGGCGGCATCTCTAGCTTACAGAATCAACGCACTCCTTTTATCTGTGTTCCGCTGTGACGTTCAACAGTTTATGGTAAGCTGTGGTCTGGCATTGATTGCATGGGGTAGAATCAACACACAGTCTATGGTACAGGGGCTAATCGTAATGAGTATTTTGAAAGCGCCACAACAAAG